CTTTCCCTCTGTCTCTCTCAGGAAAAAAAAAAAAAAAGAACTTTTAAAAAAAAGCTAATATTACCTCTAGTTTACAAAATTAAAACCCAAGAAAATGAACTCCTTTGCCAAGGGAAACTTCAACTGCAAAGTTAACACTGTCATATACTCTGAATCAGTAGTACAGCTGCGACTAGAAGTGGGGCTTTCATGGGCTTCTTGTAGGGAAGACTGTACAGTCTTTGGGGAGTCAGTCCTTCTTGCCACAGAAGCCAGTGTGAAAACTGCTGATGGTTTTAAGAGTGAGCACTTGGCTAAACAGGGAGCCTTCTGCCAAATTCCCTGGCCAGCACCATGCTTTTTGGAAATGAATAGCTCAGGCATGTATGTGGGGGGAACAAATGCCCTTGAGGAGAAGCTTGTGCGGAGCAGGGCGCAGCTGTGTCCCGGGAGTTTGTAGGTATCAGTCACTATGATTCTCTAACCCGGGCACTGCCATAATGACCTTCCAAATCACAGATGAGGACCAGGGCTAGTTTCTCACCTTTGGGTTAAATCTCAATTCTCTAGTTCCTTAATATTTTACTTTTGAATATTTTTTGAAGCTTGATCATTTATTTCTTCTATGAGCAGCGAGAGAGTGCGAGTGAGCTCGAGTGAGCACCCAAACAGTATCTTGATGCTGCAATCACCCGGCTTTAGCCAGCTCCAGATCATGGGCATGCACACGCCAGCGTGCTCAGGGAAGAATCTGGGCATGAACCTGGAACCTTCCCAAATGTATCAGCTTTGCAGAGCACTGTGTTTTACCACACTGCCACCATCCATCCGCTATTGTATTTTTAAATTTGAACCCCACCGTTGCAGTGTCATGAACCTAGGAGCAGAGGCTTTCTGTGCAGGGTGACATCTGCCAACTCTTCCCTCCTGTCCCCCACCCCAGACCATTCTCTCAACCTTGAATTATCCCCACCATTTCCTTCAGATCCTTCCTCCACTCACAGAGAAGTACAAAAACCCAATCTAAAAAGCTTCCTCCTTTAAGCTATTCTACTATTCTTGATTCACAGGGGTTGGCATTTCAACGGCTCCACATAAAAAGAGATTTCATGAAATACTCTAAGAAAATAATTGCACATAGCCTTTTGTTTCCCAACTCCTTTAATCCTTTTCTCAGATATGGCCACCATAATTAAGTGCAATATTCTGGATGTCAAACTAAAATTCTCAGCTTTGATAAATATTAGGCGATTAAGCTATTTATAAAATATATAATTTGAAAATCTGGCATTTCACGTGCTATGATTATTTCTTGTCACGAAGACCAAGTGCTTAGCCACGTGGAAGGTACTGCCAAGAAGGGAAATTAATAAGGATGCTCACTTGTGAGTTTCAGCTATTTCCACATTTCAAATGCTTTGAGACAAGTCTCCTTGCAAAAGAGTGAAGTAAGAACAGGGAAAAAACGGAGGAGGAAAGCCCTACAAGCAAAGGGATACTATTACACTGTTGACCAAGTCTCTTGCACTACGAACGGGCTTCCCTGTAAATCTGAAAGCTGGAGCCAAGTCTCCCGCTAACGGGGAGGTGCAACACAAAGGGGGCATCTTACCAGGAGATCCACCATGTTGGGCTTGTTGTTCCTTAGTGTCTTCACCGCATGGAAGACATCTACGGTTCTCTGGTGTCGGAGCATCTCACAGACAATGCTGATGGCACAGAACGTCCCACTGCGGCCTCCCCCATTCCTGTCATGACAGAAATTAGAAGATTGGACTGTGTTTGCCTTTACATTGCATCTCACGCCCAGTCAGTGGAGACGCGTCACCTAAAGCCCTGTGAACCAGCAGTGATGAAGGGCTCTGAGGCCCGTGAATTCTCCAACTGGACTGATTCTTCTAATTAAAGTAAATGAGGCAAGAGAGACAAGCATCTGGCTATGGCTTGCCTGACTAGAGGTCCTCTAGACCCCCAACTTCGCCTTGGCCCCGGATTCTATTAGCTGATTCAGCACCTTATCACTTTCTATGGAAAGAGTCCACAGTGGAAAATTTTCAGAGAGTAAACACCTCAGCTAGTATCTTCTAGGAAAATTGGTGACAAGATTGAGTTACATTCAGACATGCCTGGCCTTTTAAGAAAATTGATTACTATTTCATTATTGATCTCTACAACATGAGAGCTCTTTTAAAATAAAACTTTTACTGTGAACTAACAAACTTGAGTTTCAGATGTATGGCAGCACTGCAAAATTAGCACCGAGAGTTCCCTCGTATATCCAACTTCCCTGATGTGAACATGTTACGTGAACATAGTACATCATCAGAACCAGGAAAACAGCACTGGTATGGAACTACTAACGAAACCATAGACTTTAGTCAAAGTCCACCAGTTTCTACACTAATATATTTTCCTGGTCCAGGATCCAATTCAGGATCCCACCTTGCATTTAGTTGTCGTGTCTCCTTAGTTTCCTCTAGTCTGTGACAGTTCCTCAGTCTTTCCTTGTCCTTCTTGACCTTGGACTCTTTTTGCAGAGCAAGGATCAGTTATTTTGTAGAACAAATGATAGCATGTGGAATGGAGATCTAGAAAGCAGCAAGCATGGTTCCTAGGCACAACTTGAGAAGTCACTACAAAATACAAAACATAGATTGCCCCTTCTTTTTTTTTTTTTTTGAGAGCTTTTTGCTATAGGGCGTGTGCCCCCGCCAGAAAGAACGAGAGCAACTTCCCTGATGTGAACATGTTACGTGAACATAGTACATCATCAGAACCAGGAAAACAGCACTGGTATGGAACTACTAACGAAACCATAGACTTTAGTCAAAGTCCACCAGTTTCTACACTAATATATTTTCCTGGTCCAGGATCCAATTCAGGATCCCACCTTGCATTTAGTTGTCGTGTCTCCTTAGTTTCCTCTAGTCTGTGACAGTTCCTCAGTCTTTCCTTGTCCTTCTTGACCTTGGACTCTTTTTGCAGAGCAAGGATCAGTTATTTTGTAGAACAAATGATAGCATGTGGAATGGAGATCTAGAAAGCAGCAAGCATGGTTCCTAGGCACAACTTGAGAAGTCACTACAAAATACAAAACATAGATTGCCCCTTCTTTTTTTTTTTTTTTTGAGAGCTTTTTGCTATAGGGCGTGTGCGCTCGCCAGAAAGACAGAGAGACAGAAAGTGAGAAATCACCCCCGAGGGGGGATGGCCATGCCACAATCCCTTCTCCTCCATTCTCCTCTCAGGATCTTGGGCACACACGCACATGCACCGGCGTGAGTTTAAGCCACTGGGTCCAGGACTCAAACTGCAGTTGACTACAATGGGAGTCCAGTGATAGATAGCCATTACGCTAACTGCTGGTCCTGCCACTTCATTTTGATTTTTCTGATTTTTTTTTTTTCATATTAGAAATGAGGGCATACCTCTTGGCAAGGAAACCACAGCAGGGATATGACATTGTGTTCTTCCAGGGGTTTGTGACATTGGTTACTCCTGGGGATGCTATTCTTGCTCACTTGTTAAGATGGTGTCTGCCAGATTTTTTCACTGTAAAGTCATTATCTTTCTCTTTGTGGGTTATAGAGATCTTGGAGGAAGAAGATATTTTGGGACTTTGTGAATACCTTGTTTTCCCTCAAAGTTTCACCCACTGATTTTAACATCTATTGGGGATTTTGTTTGCAACAATTTTCACAGTGGTGTTTGCCTAACCGTGATTTTCTATTTCCTTTTCTACTTCAACATTCTCCAAAAGAAAAAGCTGTCTCTTCTCCATCATTCAAAAAGCATTTATACTTATTGTATTATTTGTTTATAGTATAGAATTACACAAATTAATTTCACTCCATAAGCTAAAGCCCAATGGTATCACTAAGTATCTCGTTCAAATCGTTCCAGTTTTGGCCATTACGAGTTCCACTGGGTGGGCCCCATCCTTTTGTGAACATGTCCTTACTTCTGGGAACCACAGTGCTTTCAGGCTTAGCCTGTATTTTCTTTGTGCCACTCTGGAATTATCTTCTTCTCCAAGGAGGTAAGTGATCTTTTTAAAAATTTATTATTATTATTTAATAAACACAATACCACTATCATACCCAAATCATTCTTATTTTTAATATACTCAAGTTTCTAGTTAGTGTTCAGATTTCCCAGATTGTTTCTTATAGCTGCTTTTTGAAAAATCCACATCTAAGCAAAGTTTACAGATGCATCTGGTTAGTATGTTTTGCAAATTAATTTTAGTCTATATTTTAATCCTCTTTGTTCTCTCTTTTGGGGGGTGGTGTTACTTGTTGATTATATTGGGTCACTCAATCTACAGAGGAGTCCCCACCCCTGGCTGCAGACTGATGCTGGCCCATGGCCTGTTGCCCCTGCCTCCATTGTGCACTACTGGGGGTGGGCTGTGGTGATTGCATTAAGTGATGAAGGAAGGCTTTGTCTGTATTTGCAGCCACTTCCCACTGCGCACATTGCTGTCTGAGCTCGGCCTCCTGTTGCATCAACAGTGGCATTGGATTCTCATGGGAGCATGAAACTTATTGTTGGGTTGTTGTGTTATTGTTTCATTGTATATTGCAATGTGGGAATGGTGGATATGGGGTTCATGGTGAATGTGCTGAGTTTGAGTTATCCTGGGACCAATCCCTACTTTTCCCATCCATGGAGGGACTGTCTTCCACAGGGTCAGTGCCTGGTGCTGGGAAGGTTGGGGGATATTCCACATTCTGGATGTTTATTCATTGCATCTGTGTAATATCACTTAACACATTACTCTTCTTAAAAATTTTTTTCCAGAGAGAATGTGTGCTTGTGGGGGAGGTATGTGGGAGGGTAGAGGAAGAGGGGAGAGAGAGAGAGAAAGAAAGAGAGAGAGAGAGAGAGAGAGAGAGAGAGAGAGAGAGAGAGAGAGAGACCACCCTCAGGGGGATGGTCATGCCAAAACCCCTTCTCCATTTCTCACTCTTCTTGGCATTTTGGACATGCACATAGTGTGTTTCTTAAGCTACGGGATCCAGGACTTGAACAGTGCAGTCAGCCATGTGGGATCCAGTTGCCTTAACTAGTGTGCCAACATAGTCACCCAACATGTTACTTTTTAGCCCTCTATATCCTGTAAGTTGGTGGTTAGCTCCAGAGCTTGGTAAGAATTTAGCACTTACTAATTTAGACAAGGATACCTTATATGTGTACTTCCATTAGAAGGCAAGCACAAGATATCATGTTGTTCCCTTGTTCTATGATTTTTCAGATTGATCATTGTGGGGACCAGCAGATGGTGTAATGGTCACATTGCTGGAATGTCACCTGGCTGACTGTGGTTTGAGTTCCAGACCTGGCAGCTTGAAACTCATGCCAGGTGTATGTGCAAGCATGCCCAAAATCCTGAGAGGAGAATGAAGGAGAAGGGATTACGGCATGGCCATCACTCCTGGGAGGTGATTTCTTGCTTTCTCTTTCTCTCTCTGGCTAGTGCACATGCCCTATAGCAAAAATCTCTCTCTAAGAAAGATAAAAGATTGATCATTGTGTTTGAATGTCAGACTGATTAGTCCATTACAGAATGCCAAATCAGCTTTTCACACAATATATAACATACCTACAATACAATCCATGAATAGTAAGTAGATATGCCAGTTCATTTTTATAGATGCATATACCATATAACTACCCTTCAGATCAACATAAAGGCCATGGCCACCCCCAAGAGGCTTCCACCCTATTCCTTCCTGGTCAATACTATCTGTACTGTCAAAGACAATCTCTGTTCTCACTTTAAGCCTAATACATGTCTTTAGCCTGTTTCTGAACTTTGTATACATTGAATAATACAGTATAAATTCTTTCAAGTCTGGCTCATTTCACTCAATCCTATCCATGTGATTATCACCTATATTCTATCAATAGTTTATACTTTTAAATTGCTAACAAGAATTCTACTAAATAATAAATATACTACTGTATAATTTATTTGTCCAACAGCTAAAGAATGCTTGAGCTATTTTCAGCTTTTAGATGCTTTGAGTAAATCTGCTGTAAACATGTCTTGTGGAACATGACTCATTTCTGTAGCCAATACTTAGGAGCAGAAGAGCTCCATCAGGGAGTATGTATATGGTTAGCTTTGGTAGATGCTGTCAAAGAGTTCCAAAATAATTGGATGATATTTACTTCTTCTTATGAACAGTGTATAAGAATTCCAGTTCCTCTAAAGCCTCACCAATGCTTGGTATTATCATTTATTTGTTTGTCTTAAACGTTTTAGCCATTCTGATTAGTATGTAGTGGCATCTGATTTTGGCTTTAATGTGTACCTTTCTGAAAACTGATAATGTTGGTACCTTTTCTATGTTTTTTGGCTATTTGGATGTCTTTTTATTTTTTTAGAGAGATTTTTGCTATAGGGCACCTGTGGTCACTAGAGAGACAGAGAAAGAGAAATTGAGAAATCACCCCCTAGGGGGGCTGGCCACGCTTCATTCCTCTCTCCTTTATTCTCCTCCCAGGATTATGGGCACACATGCACATGTGTCCAGTGTGAGCTTCAAGTCTCTGATTCTGGGACTCGAACCACGGTCACCCATGTGGGAGTCCAGCACCTTAACCACTATGCTACCTGCTTGTCCACTATTATTATTTTTTAATGAGGTATCTGTTAAATTCTTGGCCTTTAAAAAATTGTTTTTCTTTCCTCCTATTGACTTACAGGAGTTTTTAGGCATTCTGACTCTGGGTCTTGTCAGATACATGTATCGGAAAACTCTCTTTCCACTGTCTTACTTTTTCCTTCTCTTACTTATATTTTTTGATGAACTGAGCACTTAATTTTAGTAGAATCTAATTTGTCACTATTTTCCATTATGGCTAGTTCTTTGTCCAGTTTGACAAATCTTTACCTTGTGTACATGAAGATTTCCTCCTATGTTTTCTTCTAGAAGCTTTGAGGTTCACTTTTCAAATTTTGGTCTATGATCCTTCTGGGAAGGATTTCTGTACATAGTGGGAAGAGGAAGACTGAGGTGTCTCACGGTCCTCCCCCTCTGCAGTAGTTGCATTGCAGCGGGATCTTTGTTGTAAATTGGGTGATACTGAGGTAAGGCTGTTTCTGCACTTTCTCTCCGTTCATCGGAAAGTTGCTGTCCCTGCACTGCTTTTCTCCATCAGCTTGTCACCTAATGCATCAGCAGCGATTGCTGACGGCTGTCTACATCCATTATTTTCCTCCAGAGTTGCAAAATGATACCTTAATTCTATCCATTTATTCTGGTTTTATTATCTGGAAGACATATATAAAGAAAAAAAGTCCCTATTTATGTACCTTGAGAATCTGGCTCAAGGAAATCCATTCAGTTCACAGCACTTGCAAGGTCCATGTCAAGAGTAGGACCTCTATGTCCACAGCCATTAGGTGGCGCTACACCATGCTGAATAGCAGGCTCTGCCCTCAGCGAGGACTGTTTCTGTGGTTTCAAAGCATCCTGTCCTGGCCAATACTGGAGGAGGCCAATTTAAACTAACTTTGTTTCTTACAGCTTAAATAAAAGTCCTTAGATTTACAAATCTAAACAAAAATAAACATTCTCATCAGGCCTGGGTCTTTTTTATTTTTTATTTTTTCGGGGGAAGTTTTTGCTATAGGGCATGTGTGCTTGCCAGAAAGACAGAGCGAGACAGAGAGACAGAAAGTGAGAAATCCCCAGGGGGTGTGGCCACGCTGCAATCCCTTCTCCTCCATTCTCCTCTTGGGATCTTGGGCATACACACACACGCGTCCAGCATGAGTTTAAGCCACCGGGTCCGGGACTTGTACCATGGTCAACTACATGGGGGTACAGCGACATAGCTATTACATCAACTGCTGGTCCCAGGTCTGGGTCTCATGTTCACTCTGATGCCAAGAGAGCAAGAGGTAGCCCCACATGGAAGCTTTGGAGGTGGGGAGAATGATTTCCCCCTCAAAAATGCAAGGGTCTCTCCCTCTAAACAGGGTAAGAAATGTTGGGCAGGGAGCGAGAGTAAACCATGGATACCCGTTACGTTCCACTACAGTTCAAGAATAAGTCATTGTTCTAGATGTTATGTTGAACAGCAATATAATTGTTCATAGTTTTTCGGTCACAGCTGTCTCTTGGAAAAGTGTTGTCTACACTGAAGTGGGGTAATTTAGGGGTGTTTGTATTTTCTCTTTAGGCCTAACCTAGTGCCTAACTTCCGGTAGTCACTAGTGACTCAGTCCTGTGGTTAAAGCATTGATCCATGTTAAAAGAAACTCATCTCAGGGGTGAGATGTGTTATGTGTCCAGCTCCAGATTCTGGGGGGTCTCCAAGTAGGGGTATCACCAAACTACTTTTAGTATTTTGAGTAAATGGAGTAAAATATTGATTTTCCTTGCAGAGATTAAATCGTTTCCAGTGTGGTAAACCGCTTATCTTGTTCTGATCAGCAGTTATATCTGGATTTAAATAAATAAACGTAAGGTTGTGAACTTTTCATTCTTTTGGCGTTTTCTTGGTAGAACTGTTGTTAGTGCACGGGGTACATGAGTGGAAAAGGGGAAACAGTAAGTGGGGAGGGACCAATAAACTGCTTTTAGAGGACAAAGAACCGGGTCTCTGGTTGAGGACAACCAACCTAAGACTTTCCAAGGAAATATGGGTTTTCTTTAGAATGAGCCATTACCACATTCTGATTTGGGTAGAGGCAGGACAGAGTTCTGGACTTCCAGGGAGGCCTTAGGGGGCCCTGGGTAGAGGTGGAACTACATGAAATAAAAGGAGTAGAGAATACCCTGTGCCTATAGCCAAGCTTGCCACTTTAACTTGGGTTGGTCTGCCTAGAGTAACACTTAATTTTGGGGACCAGCAGATAGCATGATGGTTATATCACTGGACTCCCACGTAGACAACCGTGTTTCGAGTCCTGGACCTGGTGGCTTGAAGCTCATGCTAAGTGTGTGTGCGTGCATGCCCAAGATCATGATAGGAGATTGGAGGAGAAGGGACTGCAGCATGGCCATACCTTCTAGAGGGTGCTTTCTTGCTTTTTGTCTCTCTGGCGAGTGCACATGCCCTATAGCAAAAAATCTCTCTTAAAAACAAAAACAAAACCCAAACAAACAAAAACTTGATTTTGCCTTCAATCTGGAAGAGATCCCATTGTGTGCTTCTAATGATACTCCACCAAAAAGCAACATACGCTTGTACTTTAAATTTCCACAAATTCTCTAAATATCTTCCCTAACTGCCATGACTTTGTAATTGCCTGTTCCATTAAGCCAATTCCAGCTGGCTGATTAGCTACATATCATTGCCAATGAGAAAATGCAGGTGAAAGTGCTTTGAAAAGATGATATTCTCTGTGCAGTGGCTCTCAGCCTTGGCTGCACGTGGAAATCTATTGATAGGAATTAAAAAAACAAAAAATAAAAAACAAAAATCCACCAATCCACCAATGTCTGTGTCCTACTCTCAGAAATTTTGATTTAATTGGTGTTGGTATTTTTTATTTCTTTCTATATTTTTAATTAAAAATTTTTTTCAGCTCCTCAAATGACATTCAAGGTATAGGGTAAGGCTGGGAACCATCTATAGCAGACGTTCTCACGTTTTCACACATGCTAAAACTGCTGGCCCAGAGGTCACACTTGGGAGACATTGGCTCTAACCAGATCTTCCCATTATACATATTCCCTGGCAAAAATTCATCCTAAAAACCACAAAGAGAGAGGGAAAAAAAAAATCATGCCTTTGAATAAATAAATAAAATTAAATAAACAATTCTTTTAAAAACATTGGCTCTCCAGAGCCAGGAGGAGCCCATTGAACCCAGCCAGGTATTTTTTTTTGGGGGGGGAAGGTGGCTAACAGAGTCAATGCTTATTTTCACAGTAGCGGCACATGCAAATTTGCAGATCTTCTTTCCTGGAAGCCCTCAGTGTGTGTACTGATCATCATCTTCTCACTAAGACTCTCTTATACCTTCTCCACTAACAGTGAAACAAAAGACAGGGAACAAAAAAAAGGAGGTAAGAGTTGAGAGTGAGGCCCTGGCCATCGGGAGGACAGCTCCCTGAGAACTTACAAGCAGTGCACAACCGTGCGGCCTTCTCCACCGTTGTACTCTTCCTGCCACTTGTCCACTTGGCGGATGAGCTTCAAGAAGGAGCGTTTAGACACCGGCGTGTCCCTATACATCGGCCAGCCCAGGAACTGGAATTGCTGCACCATCCGATACCCATCTTGGGGCTGTGGAGAAACAGACAACCATCAGGGAGTAGCAGAACACAGTAACTGAGCTGAGAAAGGCTGTGGGTGTGGCAGGATTGTTTGGGACATAACAGGGGCCTCGTGCAGCCTACTTGATTTTCTCACCAAAGCAGAGCATTATTAAAGCGGAGTCCTGCCTGTAACACAAAGGTGGCTTCCACTGGCCTGAAGAGTTATGATTTTTAATCTCAAGCTGTTATTGAAAAACTAGTGTTTTAAAGACAGGCCAGACAAGACAAGCAGACAGCCTACCATTTTGCAAAAGCCAAATAAAATAATAATTCACAACAGCATTGGCCACATTGTACATAACATGATCAAATGGTTTGCCTTTAATTACAGGTAAATTAGGGGTAAAGAATAAATTGTAATCTGACGATGTTTGTGAGTTCAGTGTAATATAGATTATGCTGTGTTTCCTGTGCGTATAATAAGGTTGTGCTGATCTTGCTAAGATATCAATAGTTAATTAATCTTTAGTCATACTTAAATGGAATTGCAGAATTCAAAAGTGTTACTAGGCTTACATTAGAAAAGTGACTAAGGGACCAACAGTTAGCATAGTGGCTATGTCACTGGACTCCCATGTAGTCAACTGCAGTTCGAGTCCCGGACCCCGTGGCTTAAACTCATGCTGGGTGCATGTGCGTGCATGCCCAAGATCCCAAGAGGAGAATGGAGGAGAAAGGACTGTGCATGATCCTTCCCCCTGGGGGGGGATTTCTTGCTTTCTCTCTGTCTCTCTCTGTCTTTCTGGCAAGAAAAAACCTCTCCAAAAAGAGAAAAAAGAAAAGAAAAGTCACAACAGCTTTAATTTGGCCACGGCTGAATCACTTGGACTAAGCCTTCCTTGGCCTTTAGTAGCATTTGACACCGGTGATCATTCTTGTTGAGTTGCTGCTTGCACCGGGCTTCTCCTTCCTTGCCCATGTCTCCTTTGCTGCAGCCCTCAGCCTCCCTTTCTCCCAGATCTCTTGCAGATGGAAGCCCCCAGGCTCAGTTCTTGGGGCTTTCTCTTCTCTGTCTCTTACTCAGTGATTTTATTCGATCTCACAGCTTTAAATATAATATTCCAATGAGTCACAAAGGTATATCTCCAGCTGAGACCTCTCTTCTGAATTTCATCCTCATATACACAAAAGCCTACCTGCTAGTCTCACTTAGGGGTCTAGTAGTCATCTCAAACCTATTATGTCTAAAATTGAAAACTTTATCCTCTCTCCATGGGTGTCTCACCTTCCCAAACAATCCTGCCACATCCACAGCCTTTCTCAGCTCAGTTACTGTCAATCACAGCATTCTAGTTTCAGGATAGTCCTGAGATTCACCCTGGGGGACCAGCAGTTAGCGTAATGGCTATGTCGCTGGACTCCCACGTAGTTGACCGCGGTTCATGTCCCGGACTGGGTGGCTTAAACTCACGCCGGGCGCGTGTGCATGCGTGCCCAAGATCCCGAGAGGAGAATGGAGGAGAAGGGATTGCGGCATGGCCATCCCCCTTGGGGGGGGATTTCTCGCTTTCTGTCTGTCTGTCTCTCTCTGTCTGTCTGGAGAGTGCACGCGCCCTATAGCAAAAACCTCTCCAAAAAAGATTCACCCTAGATTCCCTGAGTCTATCAGAATCTACTTCTTTAACCTCCACTGGTCAACTGGTCACTCTAGTCTGACTATTATCATGTCCCACCTGGAGTCCCTCTGTCTTTCTGGCACATGCCGTATAGCAAAAACCTCTCCAAAAAAAGAATTATTTCCACTTATTATTATTTTAAAAATTTGATTAGACAGAGACAGAGAGAGAAAGAGAAAGAAAAAGGGAGAAAGCAATCTGCCAGGTCTGGAACTGGGACCACCAGTGGGCCCTCTGGGAATCTGGAAACTTTAACTACTGTGCTACCTGCCAAGACCCCCACTTAGAGGATTCTTTTTTTTTCTTTTCTTTTTTTGGAGAGGTTTTTGCTGTAGGGCACGTGCGCTTGCCAGAAAGACAGAGAGAGAGGGAGAAAGATAGAAAAAAACACCCCGTGGGATGGACATGCTGCAATCCCTTCTCCTCCATTCTCCTCTCGGGATCTTAGGCACACACGCACAAGTGCCCGGCATGAGTTTAAGCTACCGGGTCCAGGACTTGAACCATGGTTGACTACATGGGAGTCCAGCAACATAGCTATTATGCTAACTGCTGGTCCCCCACTTGGAGGATTCTAACAGCCTCCTGATGAGTTTCTCTTAGAGTCTATTCTCAATAAAGAAGCTAGAGTACTCCTAAATGTAAACGACATCCTGTGATTCTTCTACTCTAAACCCTACAATGGATCCTTACCTTCTTCAAAGTAAAAGCCCTAGTGCAAGGGGGCAGAACAGTAGCCTACAAGGTTCTACAGGATCCCTGCCTGACCCCTAGCCACCTTCCTTCCAGGTGAACGATTCCATCCATACTCCTGCCTTTGCTTACTGTGTTCTGGCCACACCAGCCTCCTTACTGTTCCCAGAACTCACTAGGCCAGGCCACCTTTTGGGCCTTTGCACTGACCTTTACACCTGGCTGGAAAGCTGTCCCTCCAGAGAGCAGCAGGCTGCTCCTTCACTTCCTCAGGTGTCTGCTCTTACTCACATCTATTTACAATGGAGCTTTGCTCTCTTCCAGGGCAGGACCCTCCCTAGCAAGTACGTACATGTGTCCATCTATCTGTCTTTCCTTCCTTCCTTTTTTTTTTTTTTTTTTTTTTTTTTTTTGCTAGGGTTGCTTGTATTCACCAGAAAAAGTGAGAGGGGAGAGCACCTCTCTGTGGGGAACGGTCATGCTGCAATCCCTTATCCTCCAACTGTCCCATCTTTTGGGATTTGGGGTACAGACACACATGTACTTGGTGTCTTTCTCAAGCCACAGGGTCTATGACTTGAAGTGAGGGGTCAGCCATGGGGAATCCAACTTAACCACCAGGCCATGGAGCTGGGCTAGGCTCTAGCACTTTCTAACTCCCCTTCTTTTTTTCCTATAGTATTTATCACTTCCTAACATACTATATCGTTACTATTACACCGGTTATTACTATTTTACTTATGAATTTAATTTTTTATTGCAAGATGGTGTATTCACTTGCTAGAGAAAGAGAGTGAAAGTGCTCCCCCTCCCTCATGGGGTTTGCTCACATCTCAGTCCTTTTTCCATTTCTCTGTCCTGTCAGGATTTGGGGCATACACACACATGTACCTGGTGTGTTTTTCAGGGTGGGGCCAGGATTCAAATCATAGTCAGCCATGTGAAATCAGTTCCTACCATATAGCGCTATGGGGCTGGCACTATTATTATTTTCAACTTTTTATTGCATTTTTTCCAAGAGAGACACAGGCACTTCCAACAGGGTCCTCTTGCCACAATGCACCCCCATTCTCAACTAGATCATAGGTGCATTGGGAGTGTACAGGGAAACTTCCAGATATGAACCTGGGACCGTCCCAGGTGTGTCCAGCATTGCAGAGTATTGCACCCCCACTGGGCCACTGCTGCCAGCCCTACATCAGTTATTTAGTTCATCTTCTTCTCTTTTTAATTACTAGAGGCTGCATGCATTTATCAGAGAAAGACAGACAGAGAGACAAAGCACCACCCAGTGGAACACGATTATGCTGTAATCCCCTTTTTCATTTCTTCATCCTATTGAGATTTTGGGCATGCATACATATGCATCTGGTGTGTTTTTCAAGACAGAAGGCCAGGATTTGAACCAAAGTTAGCTATGTGAGATCTGGCTCCCTTAACCACTAAGCTATGGGGCCAGCCCTATTGTCTTCCTTGTGACAAAGATTTTTTGCCTGGCTAAGCTTTTTTTGCCTGAACCTTCTCCTAAGGCTCATCTATGCACTTCCCATAAACTGTGGTTTTAGAAAGAACCCTGCTAAGTCAATTTAACAAGAATCCCCATCATCAATACCAGATCATGTTCAATATCTGATTGGGCCCCTCATCTTCCACTATCCTCCTCGTGATGTCTGACTACCTTGATCTATCTTCAGCAAGAATCCTGTTAGGTTGGTTTAGCTCAAGTCTCCTTACCTTTGACATTTCCTCTAAGTCATTTTCCATCCCTGACCTCACCTTACTCCTTCACTATCAACTCCCACTTGCCCATGATGTATTTGAAGATGAGCTCCATCCTTCGCTCTCATATTATGACCCCATTGCAGTGGTCCTGAGTAAAGTCTTTACTGTTCCTTACCATGCTTTACCAAGTGTCGCTGGATTTTATTATTAGTTTTTTTTAACACTTTTTATTAGAGTGTAAGCTCCAGGAGACAAGGAAGTACTCCTCTGTTCACAGAACAGTGACTGACATGGAGTGGGGGCTCTAAAGTGCAATGAATGAGGGAAGAATGAAACCACAACTATAAGTGATTCTGATTTGACTCTTACTCTGGCCGCATTATAAATTCGGAATATCCTGCTGATGATGTCCTCTTCCAAATCAGCAGAAACAAATTCCACCTGGATGGGGCCGTGTCGGTGTACTCCGTTTTCTGGCCAGTACTGTGGACACAACTGAATGCAAAACAGAGAAACACAAGAATGAATTTATTCCTAACAGTTTGGATAGGTCAGTATGAACAGTCAGTAACTCTTAACTCTTTATTGATCCCTTCCCTTCCCTTCCCTTCCCTTCCCTTCCCTTCCCTTCCCTTCCCTTCCCTTCAAGCAAGTAGACTTTAGGCCTTTTTGTTTGACTGATTCTCCAATCCCACCTGTCCTTCTAGGAATTTTTCTTAATTTTCTCAAAAAGCATCTTTCAGCCATGAGCAATTCTGCTTCCCAAAAAGGTCAGGTGGAAACATATCTCCATTTAAGACCTCCTTAGCATGCTGAAAGGAACTCTTGCCAGGCCCTGAGGGAGATGCCAACAGGTGCCATTACAAGAGTTAAGGTACTTAAGCTGGCACACATTCTTGTTGGTGCCGACATCTCCACCCTCTGCTGGCTCGGCGTGCATGTAATTCATAATCACTTTTGGGGCACAGCTCTTTGTGACCAGATTTGGAACTGTGAACAATGTTGGGCTGCATTTTCAAGTTCTGGTCCAAACTCTTCCAGGCTCAGATCTAGGAAACCTAGTGTAGTAAGAGTAAATGATTTGCTATCTTACCTGAAGGTGGCTTTAAGTAAAAACATAATTCTCTAGAATCTCAAGCTCTAGGTATTGGTGATACTGGATGAGTAGAATTTTTGCCTGAATGTAACATACAACTTGTCGTAGTGGCAGGTCTAGACACGGTGGCTTATGAAAGAGGCATCTGCATTTGCTACCACCTCAGCAAATTCTCAAACTGAGACAGTCAGGTAGGAAGAAACTCCAAGATATTTTCCCCTTCCAAAATCTTTCATAAGTCCTTGAAACCTTAACAGGCATTTAAAGTTAAAGTTACTTTGAGACTTGGTATTCCAGTGACTTATTTTGGGAGTAGCATTTTACTTTTATTTTTCTGATTTACCTGTGGGACAAATCACTTGTATCAAGCAAGAGGCGAACTACATCATTCTGTTCTAACCAGCTTCTCTCAGGCCAGAAGCAGGTGTAAACCTTATTATTTATTTTAAGCAGAACGATGTACCACAAAAGGAGAATCCACTAGTTGAGTTTCTTTTTCTTTCTTTCCTTCTTTGCTTGTTTGTTTGTTTGTTTGTTTGTTTCTTTCTTTCTCTCTTCTTTTCCTTTTTTGGATGACTTTTATTTTCTAAAGGATCTAAAATCATTTTCAAAGGCTGTGAAGGCTGATTTATATCCAAAGTTGCAAGACAGTTTTCAGTTAACAGTGGGCCTATCAAAACACCAATCTCTCTCTCTCCATTAAAAAAAAAAAGTTAAAGGTCTGGACTTCATGATTAAGAATGAAAATAGGATAACTAAGGGAACTTGTTAGTGAAATCATAAAGTTCTTGGAAAAAGGAAATTCAAGTATGAGTTTATTTTGATTCAAAACATTTTATAACCCATATAGTTTTTTCATAATTGGCTTTTCCATGAACTTTTTGAAGGAACTCTCTCCCAAGCCCCAGATTTTAGAAATTACTTTTATTTATTTTTAATGCTTCTATGACATTTTCCCCTTCCTCATCACTACTTCCTGGGGACAAGTTACACAGTGGCTTGTCAGGCGATAGTCTGCTGATGTTTATTTTCTTTTTGATACCCAAGTGTACCCACTGTTAAAATTAATAGGCATTATGATGGGAAACCGAGATGGTAATAAAAGCCATGACATGCATATTTGAACAGTTATGCCCATTTTTCTACTTACTGAACCAGCTTTGCTTTCTGCTTGCGCTCTCATTTCAAGCTCCCGATCAAAAGCTTGTCATTTATACCAAAGAAATATGAATGGCCTGGCTGGCACTGAGCTCTTGGCATGCTGCATTGTACACTCTGCCCAAGTAAACCATGTAGAAAATGGCTTAAATGGTGCATCACACGTCCATGAACTGGACCTATAAATACTTAAAATAGTTGAGTGCTATTCTTGTACAATTGCAAAGCCTTTAAGTTCAAATGCTCAGTTTAGTGTTCACTAAAAGACTGAATCCCAGGAGCCTCTTTTTTCTCACTCTGAAAACCAGCTCTATCTGCTGAATAGAATTGGAGTCTTTTTGTCTTTCCTACCACCAGTCAGCCAAGGCTTGGTTTGAGTCCAGAGAGTTTGGATTTAGAATGCAGCTTTAGAATTCAAATGCTGTTGTTCAAAAAGGACACACTAGAATCACTGATGTCTTGTTCACTAATATGAACAAAAACAGTATCTTACCACATTTTGGGAATTACATTAGGAGAGAAACAGAATGATTCTAAATAGGGAATACGTCCCTTATCCTGTAAATATCTGTGACTAAAGACTCTTGAATTAGAGACATTTAACTTGTGGGACTGTAAGTTAGAAAATCAGAATCCTTGGTTCTATTTCAAGTTGTGTCTTTGAAGCTCCTGAGTTGTGGTGTCTGCTTGTCTTTATAAATGGTTGCTGTCTACCCTTCTGAGAGGATCAATGGGGAAGAGTTCTAAAATATTTAAGCTTCTTAAGCCAAAAGGACTAGATGAGAACAAGGATTATCATTATTATTTCATTAACAAGCTTTCAGGCAAGAGCCTTAACAATATAATATAGTGCCTCGAACTTAATTAAAAACATTATAGAACTGAGTTGCATGTCCATGCCATTTGTAGCAGATGGGATAGATACAAAACTGATTTTAGGGGGGAAAAACCAACTTGTCTTGTTTAGATGCTGAAATGCTTTAGATCCTCCCTCCCCCCATCTTTTTTAAGAATTTGACTTTTTTAGCTAGGAAATTAATTCAATTCTAGAACAAGTTTACTCTTAAAACATGCTAGGTTGAAACTTTCTTTAATGCCTGTTGTGTTAAGTGGAATAAATTCAGCTTCTATAGGGCCACTGTGCTAATGCTTGGCTGACAACATCCATTAAAAACATGCTTCTATCCCCATTACTAATATTGAGTCATCACTGTCCAATTCTTCCTTTTTATGTTTATGAAAAGCTACATAGGGGAACCAGCAGTTAGCATAATGGCTATGTCGCTGGGCTCCCACGTAGTCGATTGCGGTTCGCGTCCCGGACCCGGTGGCTTAAAACACACGCCAGGCACGTGTGCGTGCATGCCCAAGATCCCGAAAGGAGAAGGGATTGCGGCGTGGCCATTTCCTCTGGGGGGTGATTTCTCGCTTTCTGTCTCTCTGTCTCTGTCTGTCTGGCGAGCACATGTGCCCTATAGTGAAAAACCTCTCAAACAAACAAACAAAAAAAGTGTTACGTAAAAGTCCTGCTTATCTTTTTGAGCTTCTCTTATCTCTAAGTCCTTGCTCTATTCTTTTTAATGTCTTTACCAAAGAGTCGACAAAACAAATCGCTGTCCCTTAGAGTCACTTTCCTATCTCCATTGTCATCCCGACGTGATCATCTCTACCTTTGGGCTCCTGGTAAGCCATGTCAGAAAGCACCCCGATCTCTAGTGATGAGATCAAGGGCTGAGTCAAATGCCCACGTCCTTTCCCACTGTCCTCAGGTTTGCCTGCTCTGTTTCTGGCACTGTGACCTTCAGGTTCCTACTGAGCTTTGACTCTATGACTTTGTACTCTGCTCCTGGAATTCCCATCCTTTAGGAATAACCCAATTCCTGACTCTGTTTTGTGCCGTCCCTGCCTCTGTCTGTGAGTTTAGCTTGTCTTTTAGGTTCCAATTGACTTTCTGCTTTAACCTCTGATTCCACATGCTTTTTAACACTCGTGTTTCAGCATCCCCAGTTCTCAAGTTTCAACTGGCATTTGAGACCCTGCACAGAGGCCTGTACTTCTCCATGTGCAAAGTAAGCAGACGGGATCCTGCCCTACCAGCTCTGACTGCACGAATTCCAGCGTCTCACCTGGGCAGGATCCACATCATTTAGCATAACCACAGATGTACAGTGATAATCCAGAACCAGTCTCCAAAAGTCTTTGACTGTGTTTGGCAAAGGATGCTGGGTGACGATAAAAGCTGAAGGCTGTTTATAGCTCTGCAAAACACAAATAAGAAAGATACAAATGTACCCAGGAAAATGTGACAGGAGGAAGTGAGGTGATTTTGTATACATGGAAACAGGTGGCACAAAACACTGAACACATTTAACAATTGTTTAATTCTATCACCATTGTCAACACTAAAATAGACTATAAACTTATCTGCAAAATATCCTCACAGTCATAGCAAGAAAACCTAAGTATTTCTTAGCAGTTTTTAACATTTCTAGTAGAAAGGCAGTATTGACTCTAAACATAATTGTGGTAATAGAGCAAATTTAACTTTAAAATTACACATAACTAAAATACTTCTGCTTTTCCTAGTACTTTCTTGTTTGGCATTTATATGTATGACGGTGTTACTTATTCCTGCCATAAAATATACACATGCTTTTTACAGCCCTACAGAGCTAAAAACAAATACTGTTTTAGGATATCTCACCAATAGAATGAAAATGTCCATATTAGAACTGAAAATATTCCAACAATTACAAGTAGCAGACAGATAGATAGGAAGCGATAGTTGTGAATTTCCCCCCATGTTTGATTACTGTCTAAATTAGAAGGAAAGAGAACTAAAACAATGTTGCAGATCACATTATCCCTTTCCCCTGACATGGTGATGAAATAGCCTTCTGCTCCCCAGTCTGTAGGTTAAAAATGTAAGTGCCCCAGAGGCCAGTGGGTGGCATAACAGTTAAGATGCTGAACTACATGGTCCACGATGGTTTGAGTCCTGGACTTGTGGATTGAAACTCACACCAGACAGGTGTGTTTGTGTATATAGAGTTCTGGGAAGAGAATGGAGGAGAAGGATTGTGGCATGGCCATCTCTTCTGAGGGGTGAATTTTCAATTTCCCTCTCATTCTCTCTCTGGTGAGTGTGCATACCCTATAGCAAAAATCTTAAGAAAAAAAAGAGAAAATAAAAGAAAAAAGAAAATAAAGATGTAAATGCCCCAAGAGTACCTGTAACGTGTTTCATTTATTAATACTTCTGGACTGATGACCTCTGACACCCAAGAACATTAATTAGTCCTATATGAAAACACATGTGGAATTTGAAATCTGTGTTTTTGTTGTTGTTGTTGAAAATAGTTTTTGTCTTTAAAAGGGGGGGGGGTGGACAGATGAGCAGAAGAAGACCCACACCATGCTTGCCCCAATCTTCCTAGTTGCTCCCCCTTGAGAAAAGCCTTCTCGTTTCTTTCTGGGAAGGGAAGCAGCTTACATCCATCAGAGCGGCGTTGATGTAGTTGCTGCTCTCGCCATCAATGGTGATGAGGAAAGGCAAGCAGCGGTCTGGGGGCAGGATGTCCATGCACCGGTTTTTCTCATGGTTCCGGGGCAAAAGGGCGATGCTGCAGTCTTCCACACGCAGTGTTGGTGTCACCATGTTTAGAGTCTATGACAAACGAAAGGCACATGAAGGAGAGAATGGCTTGATGATAAATCTGTCTCATGTTCAGCTTTAAAACAGCTAAGCTTCGCATAGCCAGTTGTAAGATGGCCCCTTTCTTTCCCTCCCTGCCCTCACAGGTTAGTCTTCTCATTGCACTAAAGGGCCACTGTGGACCCCTAGGATTGAGTGTCTTGACTCTGACTAGAGTTGGACACCTGGAGATTGAGGACATAAGAGGTTGGGGGAAAGCGTGAGAGTCAGGAACATTTAGATAAAACAAAAATATGAGGAATGCAATGAAGAACTATTGCCCCCTGCCCCCTGCCACCCCTTCCAACAAAAAAATCATCCAGCCCAAAGTGTCAAAAGTGCTAGGTTGAGGAGCCCTGTGTTGGTTCGAGGGTCCAAGAGCTGACTTTGAGAGCAAAGGCACAGCTAGTCACCTCTCCTTTTACCATCACTTACCCGGAATTCCTCTTTAATCTGGCTTGAATTTGTTTGTGGATCCAGTTTATTCATGTCATAATACAGAGACCTGACTTGGGAAGCAGGGACAGAAGTGTCTCCACAGAGGCAGGCTTCCAGAATTGCATCATGGATAAACACATATTGCTCCTGGAGAAGTAGATGAAAACAGTAACAGAGAATGCAAGATAACCTGAGAGGACTAAAGCAGGAGGAAAGCCAATATGGGCTTTAGGCCCATGTCATCAAGATAATAGAGACAACGCATTCTCAACATGGACAAAGTCTAAGGACCTGTCTGCTGGGAGACTGGGTTCCCCAGGGTCAGTAATCCTGTTCCTCACATGGGACAGCTGGCACGTCGCCTGCTTGGCTCTGTGTGTCAGTGTGATGGGAGGAAGAGACTAAATGGGGCTCAGTGAACATTTCACAGATTGAGTAAAAGCAATCAGAATTGACACAAACCAGTGCAAGCACTACAGCACTACCATAATGGCGGCTGAGACATCTCTGTAATTCTGTCTCCGTTAATTTGGAGCTCAATATTTCAGATGAGGAATGGGAAGCATTTTATCTATCTATATTGAAAAGAGGATTTGCTAACCAAATTAATGGTGGAGAGAGGGTCCAGGGAAACTTGACATCACAATGAAGACAAACAATTCTGAGCAGAGCACTTAGAACAACTTATTTTGAAACATTAATTAATGTGATAATTACAGAAGTTCCTCTAAATCCCAGAGAAGAGCTCTTGCACGTGTGTATAATAAGTTCACAGTTTAAAACTGGGCCTCTAATGCTGATTTGGCACTGGCTTCCCCAACAATTAATTAGTAAAGTTTTATCATATTTATTATCATCTTTAATTGCATGAGATGTTAAAAAAAGTCTTTTACTGCAGTTAATTTAATTTCTATAAATAATTAGGACTCTTAATTCTCAAAATCAGGTCATTCCTATTAAACAACACTTCAAAAAAGAAGATGAAGTGAGAAAATGGGTGTGGCAAAATTTGATCAAGTGTATAATACATACAAAAATAACTATCATTATTACCTTTTAATATAAAATATCCCTATCCTAAAGAGACCATGGAAAACAGTATTTACAGATTCTGCTATTTTTATGTTAGCTTCAAAATGGAATTAGGTTTTCCTGTGGAAAATTGTTGCTGCATTGCAAATGGGGTCATGGGGGTCAAGACTTGTTCAGACTGGCTCCCTCTCCTCCTATTTTATCATGTCTGAAGGCCACAGGGTAAACAACTTATGTTATTATGTTATCATATGTATGTGCCTGTAGGACAGTTTGGTTTTGGCAATGAATCACTGTTGTCTTAGCACCTTTAAGAGAAAGGAGCAGAGTGCTAGACAGCAGTGTACTGCTCTGCCCTGCTCTGCCCTGCTCTGCCCTGCTCTGCCCTGCTCTGCCCTGCTCTGCCCTGCTCTGCCCTGCTCTGCCCTGCTAGCTACCTAGCTAGTCCTGCTCTGCCCAGCAAACTAGTTCTGCTCAGCTCAGCCTGGTAAGCCCTGTTGGCCTTGGCTTGGCTTGGCTTTGATATGACTTGACTTTGGCTTGGCTCAGTTCAGCTCTATGCACTATGAACTCTGAGAGTGAGGAAAGCACTCTATGAGCATTCTTCATTACTGGCTCCAAGAGGAAGGAAGTGGTTGCTAGTTTTCCTGTGGCTTTTTTTTTTTTTTTTTTTAGAGATTTTCACTGTAGGGCACGTGCACTCGCCAGACAGACAGAGAGAGACATAGAGACAGAAAGCGAGAAATCACCCCCCAGGGGGGATGGTCACGCCGCAATCCCTTCTCCTCCATTCTCCTCTCGGGATCTTGGGCACGCACGCACACGCGCCCAGCGTGAGTTTTAAGCCACCAGGTCCAGGACGTGAACAACGGTCGACTATGTGGGAGTCCAGCGACATAGCCATTACGCTAACTGCTGGTTCCCTCCTGTGGCTTTTGTAAACTTTAATGCATAATCTAAATGTAAGGGGCCTTATTTATTCTTGATTTTCCTTCACAAACCACGTTCCGGGTGGTGAATATAAGGTCCACTTAAACAATCACATGTTAGTAAACACATGAATGTTCTAGTAGCAGGATGTAACAGTTCTCAAAAACCTAAGTGGAGCTAGGCCGTGGCATGGTGGCTAAGGCGGCTGCTCCCACATGGCCGACTGCATGGTTTGAGTTCTAGATTCGGCAGCTTGAAAAATTCACTGGGCATGTGTGCAAGGGTGGCCAGGATCCTGAGAGGAGGATGGAGAAGAAGAGAGTGCGGGGTTTCTCTCCACCCTAGGAGGTGCTTTCTGACTTTCCCTTTCTTTCCTCCTCTCTCTCTCTTTCTCTCTCTCTCTTGGGTGAGCACATGAGCTTTATAGCAAACTAAAAAAAGAAAATTTAAATTTCTGATATGTCTCAAATTTCAGTGTATCAAGTTCTTAGTTGGTATAGAGGACTTTCACAGACTGGGCAAATTCCCATGATGCCAGGCTACTGGACAGCATTTTTAGAGACAAGAGGCTACTGTCATTTCCAAGACCCCTGGTGAAGAATAAATGTAGAGATCACCTAAAGCCACTTGGCAACGTCTGGCTGTTCTCAGGACTAAGCTTGCTCTGGTTACCAACTAGTTCAAAAGACGGAATAAGAATAAATGGTTCTAAAATTTGGAATCCTTAATGGTCTCCTGACATAGAAAAATTAGCAAATTTAGGCTTATGGCTACAGATGCTGTTACCTAGGAACTCCTGACTTTTTTATTTATGAAAATAAAATAAAAAAGGAGGAAGAAAGAATGAAGGGAGGGTAAGAGAGAAGAAAGGAGGGAACAGGGCTTGCCAAGTTCATTACTTTTTCCCCTAGATATCTTTTTCCCTGGGCTCTGGGAGTTGGGGATGCAGGAGGGACACTTGGAACTGAGGACCTAGGCTGGGTATAAGATGTAGTACCTCTGTCTGCACCATGTTCACCCTTCGCGACCGCAGCTCCCGGACGCAGTTGTAGATGTCCACCACCCCTTCTCTCTCGGCCATGTCCAACATGATATCGATGACAATGAAGCAGCCGGTCCTCCCTGCACCAGCACTGCAGGAAAAGAGGGGCTGTCAGCCAAGGGAAAATGACCACTATGCTTCCTCTTTCAATTTTTATTAAGGTGAAAGTCTCACACATACAATTTCCCATTCTAAATGGTGTAGTTCAGGTATTTAGTACATTCACAATGTTGTGTAGCCATCACTTCTACTAAGGTCCAAAATATTTCCATGACCCCCAAAATGAGCCCATCTCCACACCCTCTTGCATTTCCTTGTAGAGGCTCTGAGCGCTCGACTTACCTGCAGTGCACCACCAATGGGCCTGCATTGGGTGGACTCTTGGATTTGACCTGCCGGACAAATCCCAGCAGGCCAGTGGCATGGTAGGGGACCCCGTGATCTGGCCAGCCAGTGAAGTGAAACTGTCTGATCTCGCGGATCTCATGTACGCCTCTCTGCATTAATCCATCAGCCACAAGACAGAAGAGAACAAAGGGAAATAAATGTTAAGCAGGAGCAATCAGGGAAGCGTGAAAAGCACCGCTAAGGAGTGAGTCTAGGCCAGAAAGAAGGTCATCCTTAGATTTAACACACCATTTGGAAGAGTTATCACACTTAGGAAGATGTTTGTGGGTTTAAAGGGGAGGTGGTATTTGGTATTTCCCTTCTCTTCCATTCTCCTCTTGGGATCCTGGGCAAGCACGCACACGCGCCTGGCGTGAGTTTAAGCCACCGGGTCCGGGACTTGAACCGCGGTTGACTACAGGGGAGTCCAGCAACATAGCCATTATGCTAACTGCTGGTCCCTTTAAAATTCTTTTCTAAAATGTAGACCATTTTAACATTACTGTTATTTAGTTCTACGTAATGCTATTAGGTGGGGGGCTACTATTCTTTCCAATATCACTGGAGAGCCTATAGAGAAAGAGATACAGAATGGGGACCTGAAGGGATTGGAGTATCTGTGTGCTCAATGCCAGCTACTGGATTGCAAACCCTTGCTCTGGTTCTTCTGTATCCTGGTGCCTCTCTGTACCGGGTACTCATGCATTATGCACTCACTACCATGCCTAGAACATTTGCTGGAAGGATGAAGGAGGGATATTTTCCAACCAAGTAGGTCAGAGAATTCATTTTCATTTGCAACTCATGTTGTTAGGCTTAGCTTTAATTTGAGTAAATATGTAACCTAGTCATCTAACCAGCAACCATCTGAGTGATTACCATGCTCTACGCATTACACCAGGTACTAGAGCTACAGAGACAGGAAGACACGGCTTTCTGCCTTTGGTGGCCATCTCTGTCTGCTTGTGAGGAACCAGCATGTAAGGAAATGTATGAGGTATTCTTGCTGAAATTCTGTTAAATGAGTAAATTGAAGAGGGAGGGCTGCCTGCCACTGAACTGAAGGGAAGGTGGAAGGAAAGAGATTTTATGGTTGTTTCGGTTTTTAATTTACTCTTGTTTTGAGAATAATTAAGTGGATTTATATCCATCAATTTCATTTTCTAACTATGAGCCTGTGTACTAAGACTGTTCTACAACAAAAGTCTGTTTTGAAAACAAAAATTACTTCTAGAATCAAGGCTCTGCATGTACATCTGGGATTAAATTAGCCTCCCTTGTATCACCTGAGGTCCATTTGTGGAATACCATCTCTGCATTAGACCCTGCTTTCAGTTGTATTATATCTTAAAAGTAAATACTCATTAACCTTATCAAAGTCACCATCAGTCTTTGTTCACACATCTAGTAAGCAAAGAAGAATTTTTATGAGCTTTGAAAGACCTAACGAGGCAAACAATTATAGATTTTAGGATAAGATATGTTTGCTGTCAATGTGTTAATATGTCTTAGTTTAATAACCCACAAAAGCTGAAGCCTTATTTCTCTGTGAAAATGCTATTCTTTAATAGAGTTGAGGCATTAAGGAATTCACAAGTAGAAATCAACACTGTTATCAATGAAATAGGCTCTGTGATCTCTGAGTAATATTAGGTTGTGGGGAAAGTCATGATGTATTTTTTTCTATGTTTTTCTATGCAAAAAAGCGTTGACTTTCCCAACAATACAATAGTACTTAGTGGTCAAGAACCCACATTGCTTTCACTCAAACCATGGTAACTAGCAGACATACTTCTGAGCCTGTATCACCCTCCAAGCCACTAGAGAGCTCCCCTGGCTTTATATTTAATGACTTGGACGGGCATGGTCCAAATCAATTTGCTGGTAAGCACCTAAGCACTGAGAAAGCTTACGAGTAATACGGGTCATTGGAAAAACTATGAGGCATTTTTGCATAGAAAACCATGTCATGACTTTCCCAATGACCCAATACGTGATTTATTCCACTGCGGACAAAAAGGCATTTCTTTCTCTCACCTGCTGTTATTTTATTTTTCATGCTTTGATTGTTAGTTTGTTTTTTGAGAGCCTCTCTTTCTGGCTTTTCCAGATTTCAGCTCTAACATTCCCCATCCCTGAACTCCATCCATCATGACATAGGATCCCAATAATCTCTTTTAAGATTCTCTTTAAGATTTCTGAGCAAGGTAAATGTCAGTTTCTAGAAGGCTGAAAACCTTTTCTCCAAATAAACCTTCGTCCAATAATATTTTCATTATTGATCAGATTAGCAAAGAAAATACTTTCTGATCCAACTTTTAAAACTGTTCATTGACATAGTAGTTTACATAGTAGTTTCTTCTTCTGTTAATAATACATTTAAGAAAGAAAACTGTAGATGTGATTAGCATTCAAAGTCCAAATACTTCTTAATTTAATGTAGATTATATATTTTTATAACAAGCACTAATACTATATAAAAAGTTATTGTCATTTAATTTTCCCACGTAATATAATGGAAGGAAGAACCTAAGTCATGTAATAGCTCCTTGCTCAAAGTGGGTGCTTAATAAATATGTGTGGAATGTATGACTCTCTGAGTATGTCCCCTGACAGACTGGAGAATTCTATTCCCACTGCCTTCTCTGAGTCCCAGGTATTTCCTGGGAAATAAGAATTCAGAGGCCATTGTCATCTTCCTTTTTGCCAGCATAGGCAGGGACAGATTCACCAGACAGCCTAGATCCACGGAGGCTTGCTATCTTCCTCCTGACATGATGGCACTAAATGTTATTAGAAATCTGTTTAGCCTTGAATCATCAGATAGATGGAAGAGGCAAGATGACAGTCAGATGCAAATCAGGAATCGTCAGTTCCATAGTGAGCCGGTTTGGCTTGCTTCACACAGTGCAGCCCAAATCCTCTTTTCACCTTCGGATCCCTTAATGCAACATGTTCTCAAAATAGAATCAGAATGTCAGGAATCTCAAAGCACATGCCTAACTGTTTTCTTCTTTCCTTTCTAATGAGAAAGTTTAAAATCTACCAAAAATGTTCTATAGAAATACTAATGATTTGTTTTCCTTAAAGATTCCAATTGCCCAGTTAGAAAAATCACTAATATGACATTTTGATTTCCCCAAATGCATTAACAAGCTCCTCTTCCTTCCTTTCCTTCCACCATCTCTTCACTGGTTGTCTGATGACTAAAATAACTGGCTTTTTCAGAAACATTTCTGTGTAGCTGGGAATGTACAATAAGAGGTTAAAAAAAAAGAGCAAAGAAACAAACAAATCCTTCCGTTAGCAAGAGAGATGCATTTTCAGCTTATTAGAGAACTGACTATTGTTCAAAGAACTCCATGTTTAAATGATGGCTTTGGAGGATTTTTTTTTCCAAGAAAAAAATATCGAGGGTCTTTTATCGCTATCTGTTTTAATGCAGTTATTCATGAGTGCTCTTGCCAAGAGCCATACAAAAATCTTCCATGTGTTTTCTTTTTCCAATCCTGCCTAAGAAGGAAAAAAATGACATCAAAGTGTGAGGTTCAGAACTTGAAGAATTGAGTCAACCAGAACTCTACGTTCTTTGAAGTCTCCAAGCCTTCTGCCTGCTTATTAAAAAAGACAGGCTAGGAAAAAAATGCTAAACAGTATGAGAAACAGATTAAAATGAAAAGTCTTTTCAGCCTTGTGGTTCTATGACAAATTTGGATTTGCAAACCAGGAAAGGTAGTTCAAAACATAAGGGCAAATTAGCCCATAAGCAGAAGCAGCAATTTCCTGAAACTGGTCGTGTTAATCCAATAAAATGCATTTTAAGAGCATGGAGTAGAGGAGAAAGCCAAGAGCCAACTGCTCGGCAGTCCGTGTATAACCCAGGTGCTCCAAGGGGACCTGAGAAGCAGAACGCATTCATGACAACATTGCTAACTCTAGTACACTGTGCAGGGCTCAGCTCTGGAACATCAGCTCTTGATAAACAAGTCTGTGGACCTTTGAAAGGCAGGGTGTTTCTCGGCCACATCACTTCCACTTTCCCCACAGCCTACCTGTGATACTTCTCTGGCTGGACTGCAGTTTGCTTCACTTCCGGCCCCTCCCTATGTCAGCAGAAAAAGGGGGAATAAGGAAATTCCCTGTTATGCCCTAAAGTGCTTCCCAGAGAAGAAGCCCCATCCATGCACATGGGATGAGGCAGGGTAGAACTAAAGCACGGCATTCACTGACCAACACCAGCAACTACAAAGGCTAAAACCGATATGGGAGTGAGTATGGATGAATGTGCGGGTTCATGCACGAATGCCCATGTCTAATGGAGATCAGCCAGGTATGTTTTCTGGTGGGCCACTTCTATGTGGAAAAGCCATCAGTCCATATTAAACCACGGGCCTGACAGGTTGCAAGGAATTAAGCAGTCCCAGGAGGAGCTAGGATCTGTATCTCGCACTGATTCTCGCTCACTCCTGAGAAACTAGAAGGACATTTATCAAAATTTAACAAACTTTGTTCTTGAGCAAATAGAGAAAGAGAACAATATCAACCAAGTTTAAAAGAAAATGAAAATAGACAAATATTTTGGTTTAGCTGCAAAATATTGATTCTTATGAAATGAGAATGATTTACGTTAAAGATGGGACTAAAGTGTTATATAATCAGAGGGAATATGCAAACTTGAGAAATCACCAAGTAGAGTCTACCTGCATTCAGGTATGACCACATATAAATGGTCTGAGAAGGTTCATGAGGCTAGTATAGTACTACTAATGTCTGACTATAGCTTTTAACAATAGAATGAAAACTTACCTTTTCAACAGCAAATGTTCTTATCACATATTCTGCTAGTAGTTCTGTTTCTATTAGGGTAACCTTAATGTCTTTATATATCTCTGTGTCATCTGGCCAGTATTTGCAGCATTTGACCTTTAGAAAACAGGATGGAAATCATGAGTTTAGAGTTTTGTTTTGTTTCAGAGGTCTCCCAATGACAGGGCATACTGATTTACAGGATACAATTTGCAAATAAAAACCGAAGTTGACTGTGTACTCAAGACAAAGTCTATTTTTTTTTTTTTCAGGTCACCTATGTTTTTTTCTTCTCCCAGAAGGAAACAAAATTTGACGCAAGGAGTAAAGCCTAGGCAAATAATCTAAAGTTAATAAATTATAATTATACTACAAATATCCCACTCATAGTAACCAGTCATTTCCTGTCTATTTCGACTCAGGGAATGGCCTGGAAAAAAAACAATTATAAAGAGAAGTTTACAATATTTTAGCTCATCTGAATTTTAGATTCCTTCTAGTTTCAGAAATAGAAAATTTTTGAGGAGAAGTGAGCAGAAAATCAGAGCCAACACTCAAGGTAACTTTTTTTCCTGAAGAAAGATGTAGCTATGTGATCTCAAGTTAAAACTACAGATTCATTTTTAAAAATTATTTACGTTTAGTCACCACACATCTTTATAGTGTACAAAACATGTTTTTCCCCCAGCACGAATATAGTGCATATCAGTCAAGACAAAGACATTATCCTATATGTTATCATCAGCAAATAACTTTATTTTTTACAGATTTAGTTTTTAAAAGAATTATTTATTTAACTTTATTCATTCATTTATTTTTAATTTGAAGAGAGAGAGAGAGAGAGAGAGAGAGAGAGAGAGAGAGAGAGAAAGTGAGAAAGCAAACCACCGGGTCTGGGATTCAAACCATGGTTGGTCATGTGGAAGGATCCAGCACCTTAACCACCATGCCATCCACTGGTTCCCCTACAGATTAATTTTAATCAAGGTAAACTTAATAAACAAACTTGATAAAATATGAACAATCTTTCCATGTTATCTGAAGCCTCTAATCTAAAGATTTTCCAGATGGAAGAAATGTGTTAGTCTTGGTCCCTCCTAGTGAATTGGTTTTCTGTTGTGTAGCACTTCCAGACATTAGCAAAACCTGAGATAAGAAAAGAGCAGAGGGACCAGCAGATGGTATAATGGTTGAGTTGCTGGGTTCTCACATAGTTGACCATGGTTCAAATCCTGGATCTGGCAGCTTAAAACTCATGCTTGGCGCATGTGTATGCATGCCCAAAATCCACAGAAGAGAATGAAGGAGAAGGGATTGCAGCATGGTCATCCTGCCAGGGAGTGATTTATCGCTTTCTGTCTCTCTATCTCTCTGGCGAGTACATGTGCCCTATAACAGAAATCTCTCTCTCTCTCTCTCTTTTTTTTTTTTTTTTGAAGAGGTTTTTGCTATAGGGTGTGTGTGCTCGGAGAGGCAGAAAGCGAGAAATCACCCCCCCCCCAGGGGGGATGGCCACGCTGCAATCCCTTCTCCTCCATTCTCCTCTCAGGATCTTGGGCATGCACGCACACGCGCCCAGTGTGAGTTTAAGCCACCGGGTCCGGGACTCGAACCGCAGTCAACTACGTGGGAGTCCAGTGACATAGCCATTACGCTAACTGATGGTCCCCAGAAATCTCTCTTTAAAAAAAAAAAAAAAAGAAGAAGAAATAAGCAGGAACAGAGGCTGGATAGGGACACAGAGCTGTCCTCAGCCTCTTCTGTTCCCACCTGTATCTCTGGCAGTTTCATTTATGCCTGCCCCTACCTTCCATGAAAAAAAGTCCTATTCTGTAACTCTGGCCCTGTTTCTCCAAGTGCTAAACTTGTATGTGTGGATCTTCTCTTACAGAGCCTGCCAGTATCTCAAGGGCAAGATGTCTAAAAGAGAACTCTTTGTCCCACATCAATCGGTGTCTTCCTGACTTCCTAAGTTCATGCTTTCCTCAGTTACTCAGGCACAAAACCTGGCAATTCCTTCTTTAAAACCCAACTAGTTGTCAAGTCTAGAAGCGTGTTTGAAATATCTCTCAAATATGTTTTCTGACTTTTTGTTCCCTCTGGCACAATCTTAGTTCAGGCTCTGCTGTCTTCCTGCTTGGGCACATCATACATTCCAATACCGAAAACGCCCTTCCAAGTATAAACTCAATGCTAGATGCTTGCTCTCTCAAGAATCTATCTCTGGGGCCAGTAGGTGGTGTAGTAGTTAAAGCACTGGACTCCCACATGGTTGACTGTGGTTCAAGTCCTCGACCCGGTGGCTTAAAGCTCACCCTGGGTGCTTGTGGGTGTGTGCCCAAAATCGTGAAGGAGAATGGAGGAGGAGGAACTGAGGCCTGCCCATCCTTCCTGGGAAGTGATTTCTTGCTTTCTATCTCTTTGTCTCTCTCCGTGTCTCCAGTGAGTGCACTTGCCCTATAGCAAAAATCTCTCTTAAAAAAAAAAAAAAAGAATCTAACTATTGTCCATGAAATTAAACAGAAATTATTTGTTTTGGCATGTGAGGATTTTTTTTTTAATTTGCCTGTAACTAGCATTTTCAACCTCTTTTTTATTCTCCATTCTATTCTTTTCATTTGTTTGTTTGTTTAAGGGCAAGTGGTTTACCCTAACTCCAAATACACCCCAAGATCCAAACTCATACTCATGCTATTCGTTCTGTTTAGAAAGTTCTTCCATCCATTTATTTGCAGCTGAACAGTTTTTCCACTCTTCAAAGTATATCTCAAGGGGCTAGCAGGTGGTGTGGTAGTTAGGGCACTGGACTCCACATGGCTGACCATGATTTGAGACTTGGACCTGGTGGCTTGCTTTCTTACTTTCTTTTTTCCTCTGGTAAGCACACATGCCCTATAGCAAATTAAATAATAATAATAAAAATAAATAAAGTTAAATAAAAATACTTCTTTTTTAAAAAAAGTATATCTCAAATGCCACACTCCTCCACAGTCTTTATTCCACAGATGTGGAATCTCTTTGATTCCCTGAAATATGTTTGTTCTTTTTAAAAATTAAGTCCATTTTAAAATTTATTCTATGAGAGAAAGAGAGCCTCCAGCAGGTCCTGAAATGCTGACTCACCCCTGGTATACTCAGGGAGAACTCCAAAGGCAAACCCAGAACCTGCCCCCATTGGTCAGCCCCACAGACTCGTGCTTTGCTTCTCTGCTACTGTCTGACCCCATGTGCTTGTTCTCAAGCTACCACGGCACTTTCCTTACAATACCTGACACTTGCCAGCCAGTCTGTGCCTGCTTATTTCTGCAAACCCTGCAACACTTGTCATTGTGTCTGTACCCACTGAGCATTCAATGAACATATATAGAACTGAATGCATGGAGGAAGCCATAGGATCAGTATAGGAAGGAAAATGCCAGACTGGGAAAGTTTACAAAAAGAAATCTGGGAGGAGGTCTTTCCCAGAATGCCCGATATCTGTGTACACTAAGTTTCCAGTGTGGTATGTGGCTGGTCATTATTTTAGCTGCTTCCTTATGAAACTTTTTGGCACTCAATTCACTAAAGTTCTGGGTGATCCTTACTTCCCTTGGCTGGCAAGATGTAAATCAGACACATAAGGAGTTGGAGAGACAGTGGGCTGTAAGGCAAAGACAGATCCTGGCCTCATTACATTTTCAGTCTCCTTCAGGAATTTCCTCCTCTCCTTCCCCCATCCTCATCATAGGAACATAATCTGCAACTTTATAAATGGCTGATCTGTAATAGCCAAGAAATTTTTATCTTGGATACTTGTGCTGTATCTAAAATATCCCAGAGAGTAAAGAGAGACTTACAGTGTTTTCTTGCCTATGTGTAAAGTAAGACAGAACAGATTACGAATACTTGTAGAGATGTCTACTTTTACAGCAACCGTAGTTTCAAGTACAAAATGTCTAATTACACTTACATGATGTGAGTTAGTAAATATGCTTATGTGGTATACATGGGATTCCTCTGTATATTGGGGAACTTGATTTTGCCTTTTTTGACTCCACTTTTGTAAGCAGGCAGTACTGAATAGGTACAAAACTCTTTACAAATAAATACAATATGTGTGTGTACTTTTATTTAAAAAAATTTTTTTAAAAATTATTTTATTTAACTTTATTAATTAATTAATTTTTAATTTGACCAGAGAGAGACACGGAGAGAGGGAAAGTGAGAAAGCAAGCCAACAGGTCTGGGACTCCAACCTTGGTCGGCCATGTGGGAGTGTCCAGTGTCTTAACCACCATGCCACCTGCTGGTCCCCATGTGTACTTTTAAAATCATTTTTTAAAAACTTTTTAAAAAACAGTATTGTTTGGGACCAGCAGTTAGCGTAATGGCTATGTTGCTGAACTCCCATGTAGTCGACCATGGTTTGAGTCTCGGAACTGGTGGCTTAAACTCACACTGGGCACATGTGGTGTATGTGCATGCCTAAGATCCCGAGAGGAGAATGGAGGAGAAAGGATTGTGGTGTGGCCATCCCCCCTTGGGGGAATGATTTCTCGCTTTCTGTCTCTGTCTCTGTCTGTCTCTCTGGCGAGCGCACCTGCAAAAACCTCTCCAAAATAAAATTAGTATTGTGTATTATTTTTATACATTCAGTCATTGTACATCATTTAGTTTGTAAAGAGACTTTGTCCAACATGACATATGCCACACAGCAGACAAGTTGATGCTACTATCCATATCTTCACCAACAGGCAACAAACCATATCTGTGTAACACAAATGTCTAACTTCTCCATATTTCCCCAAATTTCCCTTCCTGCACTCTTCCCCTCTTCCACTCTCCATCCACATTTTCCTGTGTCCATAATAATTTTTAATGCTTTTATGTCCTCCAGTCTTAAAATCATTCTTGATGGAATGACTACACAATGACAACTTTCATGTGTTTCTCTGAAAATTCCAGTTGCACAGAACACTCCTCACTGCAACCTGTTGTCCTAAGTATATCATACCTAGTTAAAATACCTTATCTAGGTGTGTCTTACCTCACAAAAAGGAACTTACTAATTATAGGATGCAATAGGTGTTGGACATTTTTGTATGGCCAACCTCGTCTTCTATTTCAGATTCCTTATC